TAGTTGAGGTCTACCTATGATGTCAATTACAGGCCTCTCTCATCTTTTTAAGTGGGAGAACTTGCACAATTGGTGACTRACTAAATACTTATTTCCCCCACTGTATATCGATTCCCATCAAGAATATGACGATGATATAGATTGATATTCTCATTTGGCCTCGATAACTGAATCATGAACCATTCAAATTGATATATTGATATAGATCGATGTATCATTACACCCCTATTGCCAACAAAGGCTTTTCAACCTAGCATTAGAAATGAACTTTTTATTTACAATTATTTCATTTGTCCAATTACTGTTGAGCCCCTGAAATGAAGTGAGATTTTTTATGTTTATTGAGTTGGTAGTATTATTAAGCTTAATTTTGTGTATGGACTGACAGGATATTTTTCATGTCTTTCTAGCTTCCTCACCATGAATGGTTCTTTGATGCTCCACACGTTTAACAGGAACACCCACGTTCATAACCAGCTTTGTAAAACCTATAAGCCTAATATTGTTAGGACTGGTTGAACCAGATTTTCTAAAGAAACTCAGAATAAGTTGAACCTGCTTTGCAGTAAAGGACCTTGTAAAAATCTCATCCTACTTGAGCTTTGCCTTCTCTTCGTGTACAGACACTCCCAGAGTTGTTGGTTTAATTCTTGATAGATGAAACTTCCTGGCCCAGTAAGGCAGCTCAAGGAAATCGTCCAGGGCTACCCGGATCCTGGTAAGATACACAAGAATTCATATTAGGCAGCAGTAATGTACAGCAGCTTCAGAAAGTATTCAGAATATTTAAATTTTTGTAGTTTTATGTTGCAGCCTGATGCTACATCCAATTTAAAAAATCTTACGTACACCTAGTTCCCCACAACAACCAAGTGAAAACAATTTTATGCAATTTGAAAATTCTATTAAATGAAATTTTCAGCTTTAATATTAAGTGTCATAAATAAAAATAATCAATTGATCAATCACCTTTCATTAACCAGATAAAACCCACTGAGATCAAGATCTCTTTTCCAAGGGTGACCTGGCCAAGAGGCCAGCAGTAGCATAATAAAACTGTCATCATAAATTGAAATCTGTTTAGAGTTCACAGAATGACCGTCAACATGTCCACTGTGCAGGGGTAGACATGACAAAACCTGGTTGTCTGCAAAACATTTTGTTTGTCCAAAAGAATCTCAAGAAAAATGTAATTTAACAAGTATATTGTTCTGTAGACAAAGTTTATTATATATAATTGTTCTCAGTCAGCCAGGTTGACAGGATCTGCATGAATAAAATTTCCTCATTTTCTTCATTCAAGTAGAGTTCAATATTCATAAGCTTCTTTCTGCTCATAGGTCAACATTTTCACTTAAATATGAGTATCCTGTGTACCTGGCCTTATCAAATGTTGGTTTAGTGTTCTGTTCGCTTTTACCAAGTTTTTTCTCCCTTTCATTTTTACAAATGATGGACACCCGCGGCAGAGAACTTTAATCAAGGTCTTTTTTGCTTGGTTGTCCACCGGACAACCAGGAGACAGGATCTGGTTGTCCGAAACGAAAATAGGTTGTCTCGAACAACCTAAACAATGGTTATGTCTATCCCTGCTGTGATATTTTAGTCTCCCTATTTATATCTGCTAATTAAAATGACAAAAAGCCTATACATTTTTTACGTTATTATAATTAAATTCTCATAAAATAAGTCATAACATAATTGTATTAAGGCAGCAAAAGTATAACTTCTATTTTTATTTTTCAAATAAAAGCAAACAAATGACATATTTAAATTTTTTTAAAGCCTTTAATAGTACCATGAATCTGTGGTATTTTTTCCTTCAATGTTTCATAATCCCAAAATCTCACACTGACCTGTGCCTAAACTTGACCAAATACATGATGTGTTTAATGATCTAATTGTTTCCTATTACCGTATTTATTCGTGTATAATACGATCTCATGTATAATACGACCCCCCACTTTTTCGAGCTTAAAAAGCATAAAAAATTTAATCTTCAAACTACCTCCAATTTCATACAGACTTCAAGATTTTTCAGCCTTTGCAGTCTTTATACATATCAGTAAAATGATCATTGTACTGTTCATTTTATTTTAACATATGTACTAAAAGGTATTTTGACAAATATATTTCAGCTGTAGCAGCATCATATGAATTCTGACATTTTACACATAGTCCACCAGGATGCGACAACACAAAAGTCAGAGACTTCACATGAGATTTGGGCCATCTTGTGGGGGAAAGCAGATTACTTCCTACTCGCGAGCGCCCCCTCTGGTGGGGAAACGTTTTTTTCAGGGATACAAACCTTTTCAGAACACCGGTAGACGGCAGCCATTACAGACGAACATGTGTTTGTTGTTGTTCCAGGAGTGGCTCGGTGACATGCTAATGTCATTAGTTTGTTATCATTACTAAGGTGCAGGAATACCCCCCTCCTTTTTCTTCACATCATGCCGCCTGCCTGGATCTGTTATTATCTCGCTCTGAAGCACGAAGGAGTGTCAGAGGAGAGCTCGTTTCAACTGCTTTTTACGACACGGTCTCATTTCCGGACTCAGGCATTTTGTGAATGAAGCCGATATTTCAGTTAAAATATATAAGTAAAAATATTTATCCGAGTATAGGACTACCCCCCAACTTTATAGATGATTTTATGGATTTAATTTTACGTATTATACTGCACTTGAATAAATACGGTAGGTTAATAAAACACGTTGAGTTTTAAAAGGAGAATTTTTGTTATGGAAGACTTCTTACTGGTCTGAGGAAACCACGATTCGTTCTCCATAGTCGACCAGGAAGCAGAGTGCCTGACAAGACATGGTGTCGGTCATGACCGATTCCATCACAGCACGACACCAAGACTTCTTCCCTTCCCAGTACACCACATAAACCTGAGAGGAAAAGAAGCAACACACAATTCATTACTTGTAAATATTAGGTAAGAGCACAAGTGTGTGTAGTTCTTTGATTTGTGTGAACCAAACTGTTTGTTGATTGAACTGTGGTGACAGTGATTAAAGAGACCTGAACAGAGAGGGACAAGAGGCATAGGTATGGCAAGTAGTTGTATAATTTAAGCAACAATTTAAAAGTACTGTCGCAAGTCATTTGTATCTTTATTCGCTATACCTGATATTGTGACTGTTTCACATTTATTAAAAATCCAAGCATGCTGAGATTACAAAACCCAAGAATACGGCAGAGCAGGGAATCTTATTGAAACTACATTTTTTATTTTTGATTATTAGGGATCAAAGCCCCTGAAGACAGGGGAACACAGCTAAAAAAGCAGTAGATTGTCATGAACTTCACCATATAAAATCTAAGTACAATGGAGACCATTAGTTTTCTTGAAAAAGCAGTTAGTTTTTAAAACATGCCTAAACATAGACTTTTGGTAAGATAGCTAAACCTTTTTTTATATCTTCTAAAATATTCTACTTTTTAAGATAAGATTGTGTTACTGGAGTCCATTCTGAGGCAGTGGACCAACTTTAACAGACACTGGCCAATAGGGGAGACTATAGCATAAAAGTTCGTTCTGCAAACACGGCTGATCAGATCTTTGCTATATTTGGCACAGACCTTTAGGACATGGCTCTTACCACAGAATTAAAAGGTGTTATTTCTCAAATAAAGATGTTTCTTTAAGACTTTTTTGTTTTTGTTTTTACAAAATCAGACATATGTACACCTAGCTCCCCACAATGACCAAGTGAAAACACAATTTTATGTTAAAATCTTGTGGCCTAAGTATCCCCGTCCTGTAAAACGTGCATATAGTTACATCACTACAGATGACACAGAAGTGTTAGCATACCTGCCCTTCCTCTAACATCTGGGGCTTCAGCCTGGGCAGGTCTTGAGTAATGTCATGGTAAAAATGGTTCATCTGAGTCTGCAGGTTGTTGTAGTGTTCCCTGGTCTCTGCATCACCACCAGGATCACAGATAACCCGACCCCACAGGCGAGATGGGTTCTCCACCTTCAAAGACCAAAGGACATGTTGTTAAGGTGCAGCACAGTCAAATCGCTTTAAATTGTGTAGTTTTATATACTAAAGTACTTCAGCATTGTGTTGGGGGTAAAAAAAACAATTTAATTTTCAGAAAGTGGAGCTAAGGAAATGACAATATTAACGTGCTAGTGTTGAATACTTGACTATGATCAAACATAAATTTAGGTGCAGATCAGACGCTGTCTGTTGCTTACAACAACGTTATATTTACGGCAAGAAGTCAAGTGTTTGAGGTTGAGTGATGTCCACATGCTGCAACAAAAACTTAAGCTTTGGATCATTTTAAAAGCCTCTTGCCATAATACAGTGTTTTTCAACCCTGGTCCTCAAGGCACTCTGGCCTGCAAGTTTTTGATGTTCCCCTGCTTCAACACAGCTGATTTCAATTGATATTAACCGGCTTTAGTTGAACTGCAACCATCTGAATCAGGTGTGTTAAAGCAGGGAAACTATTAAAACAGGCAGGGTAGTGTGCCTTGAGGAGCAGGGTTGGGAAACACTGTGTTAATAAATGTCCTGATGCATCTCAGTAAACCAGGTAAAAAATCAAAAAGAAAAAAAATTGTATAGGTCTTCTGGACGGGTTCTTCTCTAATGAAACGTTTCGTCTCTCCTCCAAGAGACTTCTTCAGTCATTTTTTAACATCCATACTGGTTCTTAAAGCATTTCTCACTTGTTGGAAATTTATAGATACATTTTAATTGGCTTCTTAAATAATCATTAAATGTTTTATTGTTTTATGTTGATTTGAAACACTTGTGAAATATATAATAAAAATAATAAATAGATACCTCTCCCTGGGCTGCCACCTTATCGTGGTGGAGGGGTTTGAGCGTCCCAACGATCCTAGGAGCTATGCTGTCTGGGGCTTTATATCC